CTATTTAAAAGCTGTTCAAAAGATTCCCCCCGAAGAAAAATGTCTGACTCCAACACGGTACACGGGGCCCCCAAATTCAAATTTGCCCGGGGCCTCATGAAGCTATAACGCGCCAAGGTATTAAAACAATATAAAAAAGAATTTGTGTTAGTCCATTAGCAACGAGAATAACGAAGATAATCACGTCACGTTCTCCACCCTGTACACAGAAAAGAAAAACAAAAAGCGTCTATTTGATGCATTTCGTGCGCAACTTGTTTCACAGCTGCAGTTGCTCTTCCTCCTGGATGAAATAAGTAAATAAGTAAATGTTTCTCGTCGTACAGCTTGTTTGTGAAATAACTTCTTTCCCTGTGCGTCGTGTTACGCAACTCTCGACGACTCGTATAAAATGAGAAAAGAAGAAAAACGAAAAAGATATACATGTCCGTAAGTTTACGCGTGGACGAGAAACGAAGCATGTAATACTTCTCCGTTGAAAAATTTTCGACGTGAAAACACCCGTCCATCAATTTCGCGATACCTTCTGTCGACCGCTATTTTCCCGATCCTTATATACAGTACAGAATTTACACGCTTAACGTCAATTTATCTTATTTGACACTACATGTACGCGTAGCTTTAGCTGTCGCCGATACACCTGCTCTTTTCGAAAATAAAACTCCGCTACTCTTGTACCAGTTTTCCCTTTTACGCGGAACGCTCCGGCGTAAATGCTCGCGAGTTTGCCAAGTATCGTCCAGTTGCATGTGTCGAGGGGGTAAAAAGAAAGCTTCGCTACAGCCACCCGGAATAGCACGAACGACTTCTCTATCCACAAGCCAGAGAAACACGCGGCACGTGGCCGGTTTATAGACACACAGAATCCTTCAGTGGCTTTAGAATTCTTTTAATAAAAACGGGACAAGCAGAAGGGAAACGAAAAACCTTCCGACTCTACGTATGTACGTACCTCTATTTTAAACTAGAAATTTCCTCCTCCTTTCATCGAATTATCGATCCTTCGCTATTTCCTCCGGCCTAGTGTATTAGTCATCGTAAACTTGGAAATTCTGCAAAACGTGTGCAAAAAAGGAGGAGAAAGCTTGACTGTTAAACGCGTCGAGAGAAATACGAAAAGATATCTCGTTTTTTTTTGTTTTTTTTTTTTCTTTTTGAGGAATACACACTTTAGATCTTCGTTTCTTGATCTATATATTATGTAACGATTCGTTGTTTTGCAACATCAACATGCGATACTTGACACAACTTTTAATATAACTTAACGTTACGTGTTTTTTGTTTGATTTTCTATGTTCAATTTCTATATCTAACGTTGAACGGAAATTACAGTAACGTCGTGATTTCATGTACTCGCTTCTTTGTTGTAATTGATAGAATGCTCGTTGTGAAAAATGAAGCTACACAAGTAAATACAATTTTACAATGTTTTATAAAAAAAACCGCTTTGCTTCACTTCAGCGAAAGGAGATACACAGATTGATTAAAAAATATTATGCTGTAATTGTTACTCTATAAGATTAAAAAGAAGAAAAAAGGGAATCGTAATATAGACTTGGTAAGAAAAATTGTAAGAAATTATTTTTAAGTTTACTTAAATATAAGAAGCTCAACTTAAAATTGAAAAGCAAATAAGGAATCGTAATATAGCGATATTAAGGAAAAGTGTAAGAAATTATTTTTAAGTTAAAAATAAGAAGTTTAACTTAAAATTGAAAAGGAAGAAAGGAATCAGAATACAGTAATGCTAAGAAGAACTATAATAAATGATTTTTAAGTCTAAAAAGAAGTAGTGAAAAGTTTTTATCATTTCAAAAATGGATTCGTTCATCTTTTCTTTTAGAGAGAGAATTATTCGAATGTTTGGAAATGAATTTTATATTCTCACATAATTAAGAAATATTTCTTCTTAGAAGCAATCGAATATTCTTATAAACTGTCTACTTTTAACCGAATAAACTTGAAAAATCTCGTATATAAATATGCTTTAATATAAAATATAGACTAAGGGACAAATTAATTCATATATGTTACAAATTATTGTTTTATTGCACTGCAATCATTTAGAAATAATTATCATGTGATAGTTATATTGTAAAGCAAAACAGCTGAAATTTGTGAAACTCCTTAAGAACAAGCATTTGTTATTGCTTAAATCTGAAACTGAGCTGAATTAAAAAATTTCAGAAAGAAACAGAATTAATTCCAAACACTTGTATTAGGTTGGTGCAAATGAAACGTCGTTTTTTCAACAGCTGAAATTGGCGGGTCACATACACAATAGTCAAGAAGAAAGAATTTACTGTAGTCCACGTGTATTAAATAGTAAAACTTCATAGTAAAAAATAATAAATATTGAATAGTAAAAAATAGTGAAAATTACTGAAAATATAAATTTACCATTTGAAGAGAGTTGTGTAAATGTTAGCGCACCTCGATGTTGTCCAAAATTCAAGACTGATGACTTTTCATTGGAAATGAGCGAAGAGGAAGGCCAGATAGGGCTGTCGATGATAACGTTTTAAAAAAATTATTAAAAACAATCTACAGTAAAGAATATGAAATTTTGCATAGACAAACAAATAGACTACAATTTCTTCAACCTGAAAAATTTTGAAAAGAAACAAAAAATTCCCAAAAGAAGGCACTACAAAAGCATTTTTTCATTCAAAGATTGATAATTTTTATATGTTTGGAAAAGTGTATAAAATCCTGTTGAAATTAGTTTGATTTTTCCAAAAAATACAATGTACCCAAAGTTCCCTTTAAAAAAAAGAAAACCACGTTTCACATGCGTCAACCCCCAAAAAACCGCGGAATTCATTTTTCAATCATTCTGTATATCAAAACAATAATGCTACACATAAATCATCGATAGAAATATGTACGAAATTAAAACTAGCTGTTGTTATATTCATCGAACTCGGTTATTACACGTTCCCCAAACAAACTATCTCTCTCTCAGTTGTCGCAACGTGTGTGCATGTAAGTACGCGCGTGTTCCTCTCGCGAATACCTCGTCCCACGAGTATACTCTCGCAAGGAAATATCGTTACGACGCGAAGCAGCGTAGGTAGCATTTTCTCCGCCACGTAGAACACAGCACAGAGGGTAGGGGAAAGGAAAAAGTTAGGAGTGAGACGAGCGCAACTTGACTAGCCCCTTCACATCAAAATCATAGGATCGATCCCCGGTCCTTCACCTGAGCGGCGAACAATGGCTGAATAGACACGGGCAGAGTGACATAGAGCGCTGCATGACACGCATTTTTAGCCGGAATAATGCCAGGATATTCGATCCTGGGCCCTTCTATTGAAGGACGAAATAGGGACGTGTGCCGAAGGGGGAGGAAACGTCGTTCCTTGTTGTCCAGAACCTTTCTGTTATTCTTCGAATCGATTCTTTCTATCTTTTTCTTTCTTTTCTTTTTCCAGCGTTCGTCAATGGTGATCGGAGGAGAATATGTGGCAGGGAATGGTGATCCTTTGAGGCGGAAATGTACATCGGCAGGATGTACCTACAACGCGTAAAGTCGACTTCAAAGCCAGTTCTCGACCTATCCTCGAACGAGCTTTTGTTCATTACTTAACACGCGGAATTATTTGAGCATTGTACGACATGACGATCGAATGCAACTTATAATTGTTTCTCTCTCTCTCTCTCTCTCTCTCTTTCTCACACACTCATTCTTTCTCTCTTCCCTGCGAGAAGTTTTGCGCGTGTATTAATATCGAATTGAGAATCGATCGATGTCGCATTCTTGAATAAAACCCGGTGAAAAACGTTCATCCGATTTAGTCGAGATAAGCGCATCGATAAACCGTGATACCGTTCTAACGTCTCGATCATGATAAACGATCGTAATCGGGGACATACAACGAGGATGTAACAATGAAAGCATTCTGGCATTTTGCGATCGTTCTTCGAACAAACCGAATTGAATACTCTAAAAAAACACATAATGTCAATGCCGATTCAACAATATTATTATTTGCTTTCCCTTTGAAGGTTCGGTCGCCCCTGAAACTGTCTCTCCTTTTCCCATCCTCCTGCTCCTCCTTTTGACTAGTGCGCTGTTTATCGAGTGACACCCATAAGCTCCCTTTCTGTGGCCTCAGGCGTATCGTGACTATCTCAGAAACAGCTGGAGCATACACAGCATCAGCATCGTCAAATAGACGGCCGCAGGAGCTTCACTTCCGTTCTCGGAGGTCACTGTAACACAAACACACACGCACGATACGTGCAACTGTTATTACGTTGTTTCGTCTCGAGGTTTATGGTCAGTGTGCACTTATCACTTAAGCTAGGCCATTATGGAAATAATGCGTCGTTGAATATGAGATGACGGTGTTCATACGCTGACAGAGTTTGTCGTCCCGTTTTTATGAATTAGAATTATGCAGGATTGTCGTACGGACCGTTTATTCCATTTTTTCCTCGTATCAAGGTATTTAACACTCTGACGACGCACTGTGGGGTATTTGCCTCTTAAACGCGGTAGAAAGTCCTTCGTAAATAGCCTCGAAATGAAAAACATTCTACACAGATGATTAATCTGGGCTATAATGCGGTGCAATTTCTTTTCATATTTCTTAATTATTAACGCGGCTAATAATTAAGAAGTCAACCTCAAAATGGTTGAAATATAGAATTATTATTTGCAATTTTGTGGTTTTCTTAATTTAAATAATTCGTGGTGGAATGTATTTGAATTGTACCAAATTTTATTTTGCTATTATTGATATTTTTGGAATTATGCGTTATTTAATATTTTTCATTTTTATTCTTAATTCTGAAGATATACTTAGTAGAATTCACCGTTCGTTCTGGTATCATTATGTTAGAAATAAGCTCTAATAAATTATAGAATGATCGATGCGCTCCTGTAGTGCCGTGATAGTGCTGTTTTTCGTTACTCTATTGTCTTCTTGTCTTCTCTTCGCGGAAAATTCGTTCCTCTTATTAAATTATAATAAACACATTAAAAAGGGTAATGCCTTACCTTTAATTTAAAAAAAATATTAGGCGCTACTAGATGCTACTGCGGTGGCTACAGTGATTTTTATTATTATTAACACTAATGGCGCGTCACCGGTATCGAATTTATTAAAATCGATTAAAATAACGTTATTAAATAGTTTTGAAATATTTGTATTTTGCAATTATATTAAATTTTACATGATTTCAAAAAAGCATTCCTCACTTAGCCTCATATTTTCAATAATTCATTTACAAATGCTGTTAAAAGTAATTTTTATTTATTATTCTATACCCAAAAGGCCACAAATATACGTCCAAAATATACGATTTCAGTCAGAAAATATTTTTTGACGCGTTTCAGAGGCAAATATGTACGGTGCAGGGTCTATTCGGACCCCAACGTAAGCTCGTTCATTTCTTCAAGTCATAATATGGATAATAATGGTCAGTAAATAAGAACAGATTACGAAATAAAAAAAAAAATATATAACACTCGGTTTCAAGTACCGAAAAAGCGAACGTTATACGCTTACAGTGAAGTTCGAATGGACTTGGGGGTCGCCACCGCAGTGTTAAGGGCATGATGAAGTCTACTAACAAAGGAAGTTCGGCAACCCGAAAGTTTAAAAAGAAATTTGAAACTTCGCTGATATGTAGTTCAAGTGACGCTGATAACGAAACCATTTTTCGTTTCAGCGATGAAACGGTCCTAAGGGGTGGAAACACTCCCTCAAAGAAATCGCGAGGTTTATATTATCGTAAATATTTACCAAACCGTACAAGATGTGAGAAAAATATTAAATTCAGAGTTGTATATTTTTTCGTGCTCTATATCAGAGCTGCGTAACTCCTTGCTCACGAGCAAATTTCCCCTCCCGAGATACCACCACTATGCGACTGAGATGATCTCGCTCGAGTTACGGCGCAGCGAGAGGACTGCCTTTTGTTTATGTTACACATTCTGCGTGTTCGTACCAAAAAACTATCGCTGGAGTTGTGATGGGAGGACTCCTCGCGTCCTCTCGCTGCGCCGTAACTCGAGCGAGATCATCTCATTGTCAGTCGCATAGTGGTGTACCTCGGGAGGGGAAATTTGCTGATGAGCAAGAAGTTACGCAACCCTCCTCTATATCGTGGATATAAGCAATTTTCGAGAAACATTCTTTTTTTCAAAATTTACCCCTACCACTCTCTTTTCTCTGGGAAACCCAGGTCTCTCTTTAGTTCTCCGAGGAACCTTCGGCTTCCGGTGTTAGCCTTGGTTTATCCGAACCATTCTTATCTATTATTCCGCTTTAACCACAAAGCCAGGCAATACATGCGCCGCTGCTGCTCCAAGCTCTCGCATCGCGTAACAAAACAAAAATAGTTTCGTTATTAGCGTCACTTGAAACTACATGCAAAGTTTCACATTCTTTTGAATTCTCTGGTTGCCGAATTTCTCTCGTGAGTTTGCTCACGTTTCTACGAACTGAAATATGTGCAAATTTATTGTACCGATGATTCGGATGGGAATTAACTGAATTAGTATTTATTTTTCAGGGGTCCTAAATTTGCGAGTCAAAATCCTGCAGGATTGAAGCATTTCCATCACTTTTTAATAAAACGGAAATTCGTAACAACGAGGCGACAATTAAGAACGCGTTTGAGGAATTTATTGCAAAGTGCAGATTTTTATAACAATAGGCTAAATTATTTTCATTGATGAAATTTAGTTTTGGCTACGTTATCAAGGTTTAAAGCTTCATTTATAAATGTCTAATGTGATATTTAATCTATCGGTGTTGAAGAGGTATCCTTTGTTAGATTCAAAGGAATCTCGCTCGTTATTCGTTGACCGGTTTAAATGATTTTTCGAATAGATTATAAATATTTCACGATGATTATATAAATTTTTTACGAAATATCGAACGAAAAAAATACCTCCGCAAACTACAATCTTCAATCAATGGTCAGACGTGATTACTTCGATACCACAAATGTTATTAGGTAACCACCTTTGTTTAACACGAACAATAAGAAAAACTTGACAATTCTTTCTCGACCATTGTATAATACAATTTGCTTCAGCCAAGTGGATTCGTCATGTATCATAGCGGAATCGGAAACAACAAATCCAGAATTAGTGTACCTACATGGACGGTGCGTGTCTATTGAGTAAGCATGAAATTTAATGAATAGGTGTATGACGATAGCAACGCTAATTGGTGGATTTTCATCTAGATAGTATAACTGTGTGTTATCGACTGCAAACGCGATGCGTACGAAAACCAAATATCTGGCATCGTGCTGGTATTAACAGACGCTGAGATCAATGTAGAAGATAGGCTTAGAGTATCATTGTGTTGTGATACAAAGGATGATGACGTTTCATAGTTATCATATCTAATCCCTCTCTCTCTCTGCAGATTCGCAAATAGCCCAGATCCCGTTCATTGAACCACTTCCAAATCTCTAGTTCTAGACTGATTATGCAACGAGTTAGGATAGGAGTCAGCTTTGCTAGCCACGTTAATCACCCGTTGCAAGAAGAGAGAATACCTAACTTAATGTTTAGGGGTAATCTAAGAGGATACACCATCGCGAGACGTCTGGAAATAGGCAAAAGTTTGAGAATTTTTTTCATAAGTGAATACTAAATGGAAATCTTCAATTTTTGGGGTCGATGTAAGTGTCACTTTCAGAGTTTTTCTTCGATTTTTTAAAAGTAAAAATGTTACAAAATGGAGGAGTTATTGCGAAATCTCTGCTGTTGGAACATCGATTACCGATCATCATCACTGGCAAGGATTGGAACGTCCGATAT